CGAACCGAAGCGTCGCTTCCATTTTTTTTACCGCCAACGAGAAAGGCTTTCTTTTCTGTCCTATAATATTGTTTTAAACCGAAGTAAACCCCAATGTTCACCGAAGAATGGCTTATTATTGAAAAGGCCCCTATTTTCAAGATCCTACGATACTACAATCTATAAACCTAAGCTCCAACACTCTTTGTAGACCAGTGCCTCAGCGGCGGGGTTCTTTGCAGACAGAATGCCTCGGCTTTGGCTGAATCGAACGAACGAACCCGGTGGTACTAGCCATTACGGAGCGTGGAAAGAGGAGACAGCATAGCAAAAGTCTACATGCTCTGCGAGGATAGTAACCTATCCATGATGTTGCCTTTGTCATTAGTCGCGCGCAGTTTTGCGGGGATCACAAACATCTCGCCGACATTAATTTTATACATTATTATACATTTGTTTAAAATTGAATTCCTAATCTCACATCTATGTAAGATGAAATAAATGCCATAAGGCATTATCTGGCAGTTATTATTTGGACTAAAGCAGAGCAGAAATATTTCTTCCCATTCTCTTTCTATTTTAATCGATATCGATTGACTTCGATCATTCTATCGATTTACTTGCTCCTGTATCGATGATTTTGTGCATGCAACGACATTTGCCTACGTATTTTTGGGTTCATTCCCGTCAATTATTATTTCACTATATTCCCGTGTTTCCACTGGTGGGGAACTGGGGACAACTGAAATAAACCAATTTTTAGGTAATAAATCACATTTTTGTTTCACGTCTCAAAGTATTACATTGCATCTCTGTTAAATAATATCTCCTTCCTTACATCCAAATATAATAGGTAAAATATATACCTACATAAAATATGAAAGAACCACTTCAAAAATACCTCATGTAAAAAATATAACAATTCATAGGATACGCTATATTATATCAAAAGAAAATTGCAAAAACTTGAACGATCAANGACTAGTGATGTTACTACCACAATAGTCCAGTGGTAGCGGGGTTCGAATCAGCGTTCCTCGTCGGATCTCGAGTCGGCCAGTCCGACCGACATCTTCACCGTTTGATTAGGAAGTTAGGTTTTGTTACTCCAAATGTTGTTAATCATACGACAATCGCATTTAATTTCATAATCATCACCATTTCAGACGTTGAAAGTATTTGTCAGTCTACGAACAGAAGACAAGGAATGCTCGACTCGTTTATAATGCGAACAGCTAGGGACTGGAATGCGCTGCCTGCTGCTGTATTTCCTGAACACTATAATCCGGGCGTTTTCAAGGCGAGAGTGACTAGGCACTTACAGGGCAGATATGTACCATCCTAGACTGCATCTTAACACCAGGTACGATTGCGGTCAAATACCGGCCTTGTCTAGCAAAAAAAGAAAATGCGATAAAGCACGATCTCCAATTTCATTTATCCAGACTTTACCAGACATCCTCGTGAGGTCGTCGATCCGTCGAGCAGGTGGGCGTCGCACGATCCCGAGACGTGGTCTCTATTCCAGTATTCGTTAACTCCACAATTTATCTTGGCTTAATATCAATAGACCTTAATTAGATTTTCTTGGATCTTAAGTCTTTGCTTATGAATAAAACTAATATTATTACACCAGTTGGAACTTTGAGTAAAATGGCTAACAAACTATAGCTAATATAGCTAACAATTACAGTTATTCATGCAGGCATGCATATTGGCCGCTATTATTGCTTCATTAGAGGCTGATGCATTTAATAATGGATGTTAGAGCTCGATCAGACTATATTATACAGACCATACTATGTATTTTGCTTTGTTATGCACACGTTAAGCCAAATATAATTAGGTAAGTTGTCAACTGTGAGCTTAATCTAAGCCTCCGATTTTACAACCTCTATGTGGCAGACTTCTAAGTAGGTTTACTGATTTATAAAATATTTTTAACGCACCTAATCTTGGCGACGTTTTGCGAAGTGGTTGTCTACTACAACCTTTGTGATCCTCGGCATATCTGATTTTCTTTCTCGATCTTAATTGACTAAATGAGTTGTCGTCTGTCAATAAGTGTCATAAACATAGTAAACACTATCTCAATTCAGGATAGCAACTAGATGCTACGGGACTATTTCCACCTCTTGTGTAGCCAGGATCTACAGCTTGACCGCCAATAAAAACTCATCCGGTGAAGGTTAGGTTTGTCCCGGGGGAAAGTCATTGGACTCGCAACGAAATTAATCAGAAGAACATAGAAGGAGTCCGAAGTTAAGGTTCCACTTGCCTCCAGTGCAAAGCAGATGAAAGGAGACAAAACAAAGGTTTCATCATCATCATCATCAAATGATGAGATCATAGGACATCCACTGCTGAACATAGGCCTCCCCCAATCTTTTCCATGTTGTTCGGTTGGCAGCGGCCTGCGTCCAACGCCTTTCTGCTACCTTTACGATGTCGTCGGTTTTACAAAGGTCGGTTAAATAAAGGTTTAAGTAACTTTTAAGATGCTAGATACCCCTAAGGGTACCAGTATTCGTTGAGTAATAGTCTTACGTGTCATGTAGTTATCGCACAGTTTAATATCGTCGGTAACCGGAGCTCCGCAAACTGTGTGTCGAGGAACTCTTGGTGCCCGACTGTTTGCGTCTAGATTCTAGACTAGAACAATATCAATATAGCTCGGCTCTGTCATTGAGGTAGCTATTAGGTAGTAATAACAGTAAGCCTGAGTTGCACCACCTAACTTTAACGGTAACTATAACGATAACCGGTGTTTTTTGTATGGAATTTGACAGATTTTTTGACGTTTGTTAAAGTTAAAGTAAGGTGGTGCAACCCAGTCTAAATGTTTTAATAGACTTATTATTGTCTACCTTCTCACTTGCGTGTATTTCGATCTGTCGTACAGTCTTTACCGTAAGTCTACTTTTTTGAGAAATTTTAAAGTGGTTCACTTACTTACTGAAGAAATGATTGGTTACACATACTTTTCATGTCTATTTCCTCCGCCATTTTGTGGTGAAAAGTAGTTATGGCTTTGTATTAGATTTAATTTACCTACTTGTAACTAATATTGAAATTGTTATAATAATGATAATTATAATGACCTTAATCTATCATACTTACATGGGAAAAAAATCATAAAGTTACACTCAAAAATATATTTAAACCAATACCATTCACGAACCTATGCTAGACTTTCATTGCAAGCTAAAGTGTTTAATTCCTAGTGTAATTTAGCTTTATGTGTCGTGTAATCATCTCACTAAGGTTTAATATCGTCTGAATTCCAGCTTCTTGCTGTTTGCGTCTAGAACAATATCAATATCGCCCGGATCGCAGACTTGGAGAGCATTTTAATGTACAGACAGAATATTAAGTTCATATTGAACCTTAGTAACTTGTAAATAAATCTGGAAATTGGTTAAATTAGTCCTATGCAGTTGATGCTACAGTGAAGTTAAAATTGTTTTGAAACATTGTGTGTGCAACAATGCTTTGGGGGGCTAGTTAGGGGTCAGATTCAACACAGAGGTGGCGAGTTTGAGCCTTCAGTGGAAGGGGTACAAAACAAAATATCATTTTATACGGTGGTTTTCCACTTCCTACTTAATGTGGTAATAAAGAAATATCGACACGTTGTGACATAAAAACTGAGAAGTGTGGTTGGTTAGTAAAGCCCTCACGAGAGAAAAATACGAGTATTTTATCAATAAAATTGTGTGTACTTTTAAAAGTACAAGCGTTAAGCATACACAAGAAAAAAAATATTGAAACATGCCTCACTCGTATATCAAGATTAATTAACTTAACAACCATTTAAATTAAATGAATAATATTTACTAACCTACCAATTGTTTCGAGCCAATAAGAAAGAGTTATTAACCTAACAACTACAGTTATGAAAGTAAAATGAAGTTTTATAAATATTCAATTTACAAGTTCCAATCATTATTTATCAATGCAAAGAATATAGCTAAAGCCCTTATTTTACAAGTAGGTTACGAGTGGCAAGTTTTTATAACTATTGAACTAACGATCTAGCTAGGGCATTAAAAAGTTAAAATAGGATGAATTCATTAAAATTTATTATGATAAATTTTATTTACTGAGGGAAAAATACTGTAAAGTCAAAGAATAGAGAATACCCACAAGTATTTTCATAACAATGTTCACGTTACAGAAATGTTCACGTTCAGCAATACATATTTAGAAGTGCTACCGGGCCCACGAGGCTGCGACGCGTCTTTAGTTTGTCGCTGCTATCATAAAGGAAAAAGATTCAGCAGACACGATTCTCTTATTGTCTAGAAGTGCACTGGACATTATCATTTCCCGTATAATGAAATAGTAACTGTGGGCCATTTGTATCTATATTTAACTGGGTCCTCAGTCGACCATGAGGGAAGGTAACTATCGCTACAACTCTCAGTCCGTAGTTGCCACAGAACCTTATTTCGAACACGCATAATCGTGTGAAATTCAATTCCATTACAATAATATGTATCCTCCACTGCATCTGACTGACCGCGATAAAAAATGGCTGATTCACGAACAAAGTTTAAGTGTTTAATTTGTCAAGGATAAAGACAATTGTTACCTACTCTTGAAACATTTGAAACAAATTCTTAAAAACTAGAATTTTAGAGGTTGCCAGTTTTTCTCCCCCAGTCGCCAATATTCACGTCACTAATGTTCTGACACAGCTGGGTATGGGCTGGGCATACTCTCTCTAATTCTACCATGCTGCAGGCGTCTAGCGTAAATGGGCAGGCTTTCAGAAATTGTTCCTTTTATAGGCAAATTTCTTTATGCGGCAGCATTTCAGCTGCAAATTCTGAATTTATATGCAATTTCTTATACAAAACACGGTGCTATGTGCTCGATTCTTGCACACTTTCAAAGTAAGAATAGAATTTATGCAGCATTGAAACCGTATATGCAAACAAGTTGCTAAAAGATGTGCGAAGACTGTATTAAGATATAGAATGTAACTAATGCAGTTACATGCATTGCCATATTATTATTTAAACTTCCGAACACAGGTCTCCTAACACCTGAAACAAAAGCAAATGACGTTCATTTTAATCTAACAACGTCGTTTTATGCAAAACCAAATAAGTTTTCTTTCATTATAAATAGGTGAAATAGACCGTATGCATGAAAGGCCGACTAAAGAGAGTTGTAAATAGTCCAGAACTATTTCAAGGTCACGTTGCCATGAAATCTGGGCCCTACTGTTTTTACTCGAAAGATAATTAATTATAAGCACGTACCTTAAAACGACGCTCAAAACTCGATTCAAACTCTGTCTCAACAACAATGAATCTGATATCAATCAATCCTGATTGAATTTGAATGTAGAGTTTTGTCGTTTTATATATTGTGAATTTTAAGCCTTCATAAACTATCTGGTCAACGTGGGGAGTGTAGGCCAATTTCTCTATTTGCGTCTGGTTAATTAGAGAGGGTCTATCTCATTAGTAGAGACTAAATGACCCGGTGATGATTCTGATAAAGTCTTAATAAATGCCAAAAATAAGTTGTATCAAGCTGTGCCTCGATCCATTATACATTTCATTCAATTCAACTACTCTACTTTGCGTTATTGACCATAAAACCATAATATACTAACCCATAGTAGGCGCAAACTTACCTCGCGGATTAAAAAAGTACTGACCCTGATATGAAATATGCAAAGAGCGTACCCTTGTTATGTGAACCCACGTAGCATGGGAGGTAGACGTGGAGCATTATTGAATTTAGGTTACCTGCGCTGAGGCCGTTTTAAACATGTTCTTACACTTAATTTAGTTTAAGCATGCGACGCCGAGTGAGATGAGATGCGAAATGCTTAATGTGGGTTTGACGATGCCGCAAGATGATGTATTTCGTTTAAAATAAATGTGATATTCCAGACATTTGTAAACGTGTCTGTTAAACGTTTTCACGCGTTCATCTAAACCAAAGGAGTTAAAAATATAAAAAAAAGTAAAGTAGAAATAAATGGACTAAGATGGGTGTAACAAAGGGATAGAAGTTTTTCTGGGATTTCGTATGTTTGGTTCTGTGTTTTTGTGTCTGAGTAAATATCCTCCTGATGATGATGATGATAATGAAAAACCCTCCACTTACGTGGACAAAGCCGCGAGCAAAATTTAGCTGGCAATAATTCTAGCTTCCAATAATTCTCCGCCCGATAAAGTAAGTAGTTTTGAGTTGAGTTATGAATTTACTCGTTCTGAAAGTCGTATTGGAATTTATTTAAGAAAATAAATATGATTTCTCAAGTAAGTGAGACCTACGCATAACCTTTACGTATAAGTAGTTGAGGATTCCGGGTGAAGCTCGCTTCCACCTTCGGCCTGATCATCACTTACCATCAGGTGAGATACAGGCCAAGAGCTTCCTCATTAAGTAGAAAAAAAAAGTTTTAAATGCCATCCTTGCCTACATAAAATAATTTCTTTTACGAATACAGTCAGCAATACTTTAATGGTTCAGTTTAGTCAATCTAGATTTGGAATTGTTTAGATAATCATTGTTAAGGATCGGATCGTCGTCATGCGGTGGTGTTAAGGTCCGTCTATACACTGATGTATATTAGGGTCCATGAAAAACCAGTTCATCATCATCATGTGGTGGTTGGAGTAGGAAAATAAACCACAAATCGCGCACAATAGCCCAATCATGAGGCTAAGTGCGGTATTCGATTGCCCTGCAAAAGTAACTAACTATCATAATTATTTCAGCCACAGGACGTCCACTGCTGAACATAGGCCTCCCCCAATGATTTCCACATCACCCAGTTGGTAGAGGCCTGCATCCAGCGCCTTCTTGCCACCTTTATGAAGTCGATCCAGCTTGTGGGTGGACGTGGACGTCTCACGCTGCGTTTTCAGTGTACCTACCATGAGTTTACGTTAGGTGTGCTCGCTAGCGAGTACGTCAAAAAACTCTATGAAGATTTTGTTTCTTGAAAGTAGCCACTAGGGGCGCTGCACAATATATCATACAATTAATGTCATTTTTTTACGCAGTCGCTAGCGAGCTCACCTAACGTAAACTCATGGTAAGCGCACTGTTCAACTAAATAAATACTTGTAGTTCAGAAAGAATTTCGACACCCTTACGTTCATTTATTTTACTAGTTCAGCAATGCCTCGTGTATTTACTTAACTAATACTTTATTGGATCAGTCTAGTCAATCTAGATTAGGCTTTGTTTATATAGTGTTAAGAGCGATCCCACTCGACCGGTGTGCCTACCATGAGTTTACGTTAGGTGTGCTCGCTAGCGACTGCGTAAAAAAATGACATTTAAATGTATGACATATTGTGCAGCGCCCCTAGTGACTACTTTCAAGAAATAAAATCTTCATAGAATTTTTTGACGTATTCGCTAGCGAGCTCACCTAACGTAAACTCATGGTAGGCACACTGGACGCCAGTCGACCGGAAAATGGCGCCGCAACTAGTCTCTGATAATGGATAGGTAATGATCGGAACATCATGATGGCAGTGTTAAGGACCGTCTACACTGTACCAACTAGGAGTACAGTTAGCGTAAAATACTTAGTTGTGGTGTGATAAGTACCCAAAGTAGCCAATAACTCGCAACAAAAATTTCGCAACACGTCTTTGTGGCTATTGGAATAAGGTTGTGTTGTCAACTTATTGGCCACTTTTCGTACCACGATCTTTTTGGCGCTGACATAAACTAAGTAGTTAATATTATTAGAATTTCTACATTTACACCCAACAAGAGATAATAAGAATAAGAATGTCTTTATTTGCTTCAAACATGGTATAAGGATGTTGGTTTTTACAATGTGCTCATGTTTAGCCTTTTAAAAATAGCATGCAAATCATTTTCAATGTTTATCATTATTTAATATTAGCATTAAAATGTTTTATTTGTTTAAGTTACTCGTATGTTTGTGCACATAATATTTTTAATGGCAATCTATGCTGATGCATAAAATACAATTATTTGCTTTTAATAGGTAACTGATTAATTAAGAATAATACAAATAATGAACCTACATAGACTAAATATTTACAAATAAAAAATAATATGTCCCAAATCGCTGTCCAAATAGGTAACTAGATTAAAAGACTCGATATCTCTAAGAGAATATTTACAAAAGGTTTCTCATGAAGCCAAAGTCTCAGACTTATTTTTGTCGTAAATCCATAGGAATGCCCAGTCGACCAGATAATAGGGTAAACCGATAACACGTATCAATCACAGCGACGCGGGAGCTGTCATAGTTTAGTTTCTAGATGGTTATTGGTATGACGTTTTTGTTTAGGATTTTGGACTTTAAGTCGCTTGTATAAGGTTCAAAATGAGTTCAGAGTTTTTTGTGGTAGGTTGATCTGCTAGGTGTACTAAAGATACAGAAAGTCAGCAGTCCTACTACGAGAGAGTTGAACCTACCTTAAAAAATTTTTTCTCAATTGATTCGGAACCATATCCTTGAGGCAATAAGTTTGGATTATTTTGGAACAAGACGCAGGGCCGCGCCGACCGCCGGCAGCGCCTGTGTGCGGAACCTATGAAGCGCCTCTTTTCTAATGAATCGTCATAAAAAAACGAATTTAAATTATTTTTAACGAATATTTTAATTGTTAATTTTGACTAAAATAAATGTTCTTCAGTTTTACAGTAGGTACTTAGATAATATTATCATAAGTGTATTAAAACTGAAAACCACTTAGGAATTAGGATACTAAATAGGTAAATCCCGTTCGTTCTGCTTGCCAATTACTACGAAAAAGAAAACTCGAACTAAATTTTTACATGCCTAATACAAAGAATTGTATATTTAAATATTAATAACAAAGAAGCTTACTTGTTTCTAATCATAATAATACTAATATGACTATTACGTACCTACCTATGCTATGTAAAAACAGCAAGAGTCAAACTTTTTTTTTATATTAGTGCTACTGAAATGCACTTGCAACTGGTGCTAACAAGAATATTTTAATCATACTTAAATTATAATACAGGGTGTTTGGCGGAAGATTAGACATACTTCGTGGGTGTATAGGTAAGGTCATTTTAAGAATACAAGTTCGCCCATTTTACCCTAAGTGGGCTATTTTTTTAAATTTATATTTTTGTTTTAATTTAATTTTTTCTGAAATTTGACCTAAAAACTGCTTTTTTTTTCTCGCGTGTTTTCAATCGCTTTTATTATTTCAAATTAATATCGAATATGTCTTAAGTCAAGTAAAATAAATATCAGATCCAGATAATGATTGGATAGCTAGTTACGAGCCACCAAAGTTTAACAAAAGTACGAACCATGATAAAAAAAACTACTTGGAATTCTATTTAAAAAAAATTAAAGATGACAGTGAATTGCCAATGATCTTAAAAACATCTCTAGCTTCTCTTCTTTCCAATGATATTATGTCACATGGAGCCTAATTAGATGTTGAAATTCGTGAAAAATTCAAAGTTTAGAGAAGAAAATGGAACAGTAATACAAAAGTTATCCATGCAAAGTAAATTTAGAATTTTTTTACTGTTTTTTCTTCATAAGTGGTTATTATTTTTAAATTGATTTTGAAATAAAACAAAAAAAGTAATGAAAATGAGTATAGCGGAAAATATAACGATGTTGGAAGAAGCTTTGTATGGATAACTTTTGTATTATTGTTCCATAGTAACGGCAAGTTTATTTTTGTTTAAAATAAATTTGCCGTTCCAAAGCAAAGTTATGCAAATCGCTCTTTTTCGTTAATTTATTTTTGCGAACATAACTATTTACTTACTTCAGTAGTTACTTACTTACTTAGTAGTTCACTGGGTAAAATGGGCGAACTTGTATTCTTATAATGACCTTACCTATATACCCACGAAGTTTGTCTAACCTTCCGCCAAACACCCTGTATACTGTGGTTTTGGCTTGGCTATCTCGTTCGTTAAAATCCCCGTGGCGGGGAATCCCCGGGACCAAATCCCGTTTGTGTCGCAACTCGCACGCATCGCATCGGGTTGCGTTCATAAACTCACTCATAGTCATAAAAAAACTCGGCGCCTC